TATGGAGAATCTAGGGACACAGAGGACATATCTGCACATAATAAGGCAATATACAAAATCCCTACATCTAATATCATATTAAATGGAGAAAAATGGAAAGCATTCCCATTAAAATCAGGACGAAGACATAGATGTTCTCACTCTCCATTCCTGTTCAATATAGGAATTAAAGCCTTAGCTAGAACAATAGGACAATTGAAGAAGATAAAGAGGATACAAATTAGAATGGAAGAAGTCAAAGTGTCCTTATTTGAAGATATGATTCAATACATAAAAGACCCTAAAGACTCCTCCAGAAAACTCTCAGAACAGATAAATACTCTCAGCAAAGTGGAACTATAAAATTAACACCTCCAAATTGTAGCCTTCCTATTTATCAACATCAAATATCCTGAAAAGATATCATGCAAATGATCATGACAGCCACAAAAACCTTAAAATATCTTGGGATAAATCTAACCAAGGAAGTAAAGAAGTTGCATAACTAGAAAATGAAATGATGAAAGTCACAGGTGAATGGATGGAACTGGAAACTCATCCTGAGTGAGGCAACCCAGACCCAGAAAGACAAGTGTTACATGTTCTCTCTCATAACTGGATGCTAGCTTTGAAGTCCTAAATATGCATGTTTCAATTTCAAAATCCAGAGAAATCAGAAAACTAATAAATGACAATGATGGGAGGCTTTGGAGGGGTGGAGATAGACTACAGGGATATAAAGTGGGAAGGGTAATAATAAAGTAGGAACTGTTCAATGGCTTTGGGCATTGGAGTGTAGGGCACATTAGGGACTGTGTGGAGGGAAAACCAACACTAAAATCCTTTTAAGAAATGCCAAAGGGAAACCTACCACTATAGAAATTTCTGAAAGTATATACAAATAATACAAAAAGAAATTAAAAGGAGTTACCGTATAACAGGGAGACATTGCCCCTGCCAGGTGTCATAGGCTAACAAAATCAAAGCCCAATGGCAGGAATGGATTCCCTCTTCTGAAGCTGTTAATCAGGATCTCACAGATCCTCAGCCGATACTGGTCATTGCCCTGCTCTTGTTTACTGACCAAAATTTGACAGTAAAACCCTATTACTGAAGACACTACATACATGAGCTGTAGAACAAACAAAGAGAAATCAAGCTGATGCTGATGTCAAAGACTCATCCCCATTGGCTAGATTTCATAGAGCTGGTAGATGCTATGTGTGCTAGCAGAAGAGAAAATTAATCATCAACCTTACCCAACTGTGAATTCTGCGAACTATAACAGCTGACCTGGCCGGATATGCCCCCTGGTTGGCATAGTGGTACAAATATTATGGGAGGAAGCAACCACTTACTAATTGGATTTCAGGTCCACTTCATAGGATGGAGCCCATACCTGACACTGATATCAGACCTCAGAACCCAAGGCTGGACATGTCACAGGACATATCGGAAAGCCCAATACTAGATTTCTGCTAAATAGATATAGTATTAAATTGATTCCTAGGAACTTATTGTTCTACCCACAGAATAATGCATGTCTCGGCTTAACCAGACAAGCTTCCTTATGCAGCACACGGTGCACAGATACCCACAACTCACCAATATGCAGAGAACAAGAGGCTGCAGACTGCTTATCCCTGAGTTGGACACCTGTATTGAACTTCTACCTCCCAAGGGTCTGGGATTATTGTGGAAGAGGGTGTGGAAAGACAGTAAGAGCCAGAAGTGGTGGATGATCACAAGGAAAGAGTTTTCCAGACAGCTGGTCCACTACTCATACGAACTCACTACAACGGTGACAGCACGCAGAAGTCCCATGCACGTTCCAACTGACAAAATCCCAGCACAGACATGGGGAGGTTGCTACCCCATCCCGACTTAAGGAACTTTTGGTAACGGATGGCTGCAGGAGGGGAACAGTGAGTCTCTT